GTAATTAGTTGTCATCATCTACAAATGTAATTAGTTGTCATTATCTACAGATGTAATTAGTTGTCATTATCTACAGATGTAATTAGTTGTCATTATCTACAGATGTAATTAGTTGTCATTATCTACAGATGTAATTAGTTGTCATCATTTACAGATGTGATTAGTTGTCATTATCTACAGATGTAATTAGTTGTCATCATTTACAGATGTAATTAGTTGTCATCATTTACAGATGTAATTAGTTGGGAAAAGTATTTGTATAGAAAATACAGATGCCAGTAAATATGACTGGTCCAGTAACCAGTAAATATGACTGGTGAGAAATACCGATACATTGATATCACATCTAATGATACCAGTAATATCATTAGATATATTTTCAATGTATAGGTATTTCTCACCAGTCATATTTACCAGTTACTGGTATCATTAGATATATTTTCAATGTATGGGTATTTTTCACCGGTCATATTTACCAGTTACTGGTATCATTAGATGTGATATCAATGTATAGGTATTTCTCACCAGTCATATTTACTAGTTACTGGTATCATTAGATGTGATATCAATGTATGGGTATTTCTCACCCATCATATTTAAAAGTTACTGGTATCATTAGATGTGGTTTCAATGTATAGGTATTTCTTACTGTCTAGTTTTCTAGCATGTTACTTTAAAGTGCTACTCAGGAAGTTTAAATTTCATCTTCAGTTAAATGTTGTTGATTATGTTCTCTGTCTTCAAGAACAATCTCTTTACGATATTAACTTTTTATCTCAATCTGAACAGTTCCTCCAACAATATCGAACACCACTGACCCAAGCCAGTCCATACTCGTCAACCGACCATTGTTCTTAGAATGTCCAGTTCAAGCTGACCCTCCAGCTCAGATTGAGTGGTTGAAAAATGAACAACCGGTAGATCCAATAAGGGACCCATTTATTCATTTCATCAATGGTGGTCAGAAATTACAACTCTTACGAACGAGAGTAGAAGATACGGGCAATTACACCTGTGTGGCGACGAATGCTGCAGGACAAGCGAAGAAAGATTTCAGGCTGGATGTTTTAGGTATATGAACCTAATCTTAAAATCTCATATATATATATAATTGTTAATAATTAAAAGCAATGAATCATTGAAATGAGTTCATTACCTCCCCTCAAGTTACTCAGCTGAATCTCAAAATAATTCATTATATTTCTTAACACATTCACGACATTGTGCACCACCAGTGATACATATGCATGTTTTCTGTTGGATGTCCTGAGCCACCCATGGTATACAACACCCATAAGATATAACTCTACATCATATCTCCAAAGTCCTATATGAAGCATTTATTATTATATACAGATGACTATAATAAAGCCACGCCTTCCATCATGTACCACTGATGGAGCAATGAATGCCATGTTGAAAGGACAACTGAATTAAAACAAATTTACGTGATTAAATAACTTTATTTTAAAATTACATTTAGAGATTGGCATTAAATTTTTTATTGTGAGTAATTGAAACAAAAACACTAATTGAGACTTCTTTCATAAAAAAGAAAACATAGTAACCAATAGATGAAATCTAAGGTTTAAATAATTTTATTTCATGTCTTGAATGAACTACGTATGATATCTTGGTTGGATGACATAACTCAGTGGTTCATTGTTTCTTGAACTAATTCATTAGTCCATTGTTACATTCTGATGACCCTGGCTACAAGTCGAAACTCATCGGTCCATTGTTACATTCTGATGACCTTGGTGACCTGACAAAACTCATTGGTCCATTGTTACATTCTGATGACCTTGGCTACCTGACAAAAGTCATTGGTCCATTGTTACATTCTGATGACCCTGGCTACCTGACAAAAGTCATTGGTCCATTGTTACATTCTGTTGACCCTGGCTACAAGTCGAAACTCATTGGTCCATTGTTACATTCTGATGACCCTGGGTACCTGAAACAACTCATTGGTCTATTGTTATATTCTGATGATCTTGGGTACCTGAAATAACTCATTGGTCCATTGTTATATTCTGATCACAGCTCTGCCCATCAAATCAAGTATGTAAACTTAGTGAATAATTTCTCCATTTTAGTGGACCTATGTCACTGAAATTGACTGTACATCATTGTAGTGCACATTGTACTCACACATGTATAGGGCCAAGGAACAAATTTGATTCAAGCCAAAGCTTCATAATGTGATATGTAGAATATTAATCACATGTTTTGGTCATTATTGTTAAAGTGTATAAAAGAGTAGAGTTTAACTGTTTTTCTTTTGTAGTACCACCAAAAATTGAAAACAACGATGTGCTGACAAAAGAACCACATGCTGTGGAGAAGACTGATGTAGAACTTGAGTGTTATGTCTCGGGAACCCCACGGCCAACAGTGGTCTGGATGAAAGATGGCAAGGTGACTACTTTATCCTGGGTTTTTTGGTATTGCACAAACTGTGTCCAATATCTCAACTAAATGCTAAGTAACTTATACATTTTCAAACTGTTATATGAGTTTATTCCAAACAAACTTTAGAGGCTGATTTTAATTTATCATTTTACACGCAACAAAACTTGACAAAATATTTTATTTATTAGGTTTTAGATGATTAAAGTTATTTTTATTTTAGCTTTTGCAGATTATCAAAAATTATTCTGTATATTTATTGAAAGCTTCTAATTTTTTGTTGTTTTTTTTACAAGTTTAAATGAATTTAAAGAAATTAACTAGTTTTTAACTTATTTCACTGTTATCCACCATCAGAAACCAGTACTGAAGTTTCACTGCAACATATTCCGTTGGTTATTCTTCAGAAATTATTTCCTGTTCAATAGATGAATCGGAAGATACTTCTTGAAAGATCACAACTGACCTTGGTTTAGATAAGTCATTTCAATATGGACCAAATCCTCTTTTTATAGATTCTGCAAACTGATAATGCTCCACAAGTTCAATTTCTTCATGAAAATCAGTTGTTAAAGATCACAGAAGTGGAAGTTTCTGATGGTGGAAGGTACACCTGTGTGGCTTCCAGCCTGTCAGGGACTCAAGAGAAACATTTTGACTTGACTGTACAAGGTAATTATTCCATAAGCCTTTTAAAGGTTATTAGAAAAGTTCATTTCATATTCTGTAAGGTTTACTGAAAGAGTTTTCCAGTAAAAGGGAATTATGAAAGTATTAATTAACTCACAACTAATAATATGATATATCTTTGGCAGACAAATTTATTCTTTTTTTAAAGCAATAAGGTTACATCATTTTCAACTGTGTTCTAAATCTTTCACCACAGTGTTGTTATAAGTCAAACAAATCGTTCACCACAGTGTTGTTGTAAGTCAAACAAATATTTCACCACAGTGTTGTTGTAAGTCAGACAAATCGTTCACCACAGTGTTGTTGTAAGTCAAACAAATCGTTCACCACAGTGTTGTTGTAAGTCAAACAAATCGTTCACCACAGTGTTGTTGTAAGTCAAACAAATCGTTCACCACAGTGTTGTAA